TACTTCAATAGGTTGGTAAATTAACATTATATCAGTTAATGAAATACAGTTTATTACTGTAAATTTTAAGTTAAGTCTGTAAAACCAATAACGTTGCTACCGTATTTTTGACGGTAAAGTTCTGGCAACCACAGCTGGCGTTTTTTTACCGTAAAAATTACCGTTTTATTTTTTACAGTGTATGTTTTACTCTAAAACTGTGAGAAATCAAAGCCATAAATCTAAACAAGTTGTGGTCCAAATTTGAGCCTGATATATCAAAAAATGAGCTTTCAGTGAGATTGGCCGCAGTCCCGAACGCGTCCACTAGAGGAAATTCGTCTCGCATTCATTCCCAATGCACTAATTTTTGACCTTTTCTAATCATGTCCATGATTGTTTTTGTGTTCACACAGCAAGTGCCAAAACCTTTACCAAGTTTCATACTATTCCGATGAAGTAAAAAACAAAAAAGTAAACATTTTCAGTCAGAAATGCACCAGAGGCTTTGCTGATTAAGAAACTCATGTTGGTTTTGCCTTCTTATTTGAATCGACTTGAATAAAATCAAACAGCGCTAGATTTGTTTGAGGGATTTTCACACAAGCCTGTTTCCTGTCAAACACGTCTCACTTCCTCTTTTCTGCGTTCTACTTCCTCCTCGTTACATGCGCAAGGTGCTCGTCTTTTTGTCGTTCTCTCTCTCACACACACACACACACACACCTTTCTCCCATCTGCACCCATGAAGGGGAAGAGAAACTAAGAGGATCTCAGTGTTTTCAGATTGGGAAATGTTTTAAACAGCGCATGAAAAGCAGAAGTGCTAAACATAGAGCTGTCGTCAGTTCATTTCTCAGAAGATCAGTCAAAATTAATACTTCTGTTCAGCACGGATGCATGAAATCGATCAAAAGTGATAGTAAAAGCATTAATAATGATACAACAGAGTCTATTTCAATTAAATGCTGTTTTTTAACTGCTTAAAACATGTATCAGAACAACTGATAATAATCATAAATGTTTCTTGAGCATAAATCCTCATATTAGAGTGATTTCTGAAGGATCATGTGACACTGAAGACTGGAGTAATGATGCTGAAAATTCAGATTTGATCACAGGATATAAATTACACGTTACAACAAACTCGAAAAATTAGAATATGGTGCAAAAGTTCATTTATTTCAGTAATTCAACTTAAAAGCTGAAACTAATATATTATATAGACTCATTACATGCAAAGTGAGATATTACAAACCTTTATTTGTTATAATTTTGATGATTATGGCTTAAAGATATGAAAACCTTTTCACAATATTCTAATTTTGAATTTGGGGTTTTCATAAGCTGTAATCCATAATCATCACAATTATAACAAATAAAGGCTTGAAATATCTCACTTTGCATGTAATGAGTTTATATAATATATTAGTTTCAGCTTTTAAGTTGAATTACTGAAATAAATGAACTTTTGCACCATATTCTAATTTTTCGAGTTTCACCTGTATAAATTCACATAGAAAACAGCCGTGTTAAATTGTAATAATATTTCACTCTTTTTACTGTACTTTTGATCAACTAAACGCAGCCTTGACGAGAACAAGAGACTCCTTTCATAAACATTCAAAAATCTTTCCCCATTTTCTGTGGAAATCTGTTGCACTTCATCTGGCCGTTTCAATGCAGAAACACACCCTGTGTGAACGCCGCTTATTCCTAACTGGAAGCGTGATCAAATTACCAGAAATATTTAATAAACGAATATGCTTCACCACACTCCAATAGCATGAGTCTGCAGGAATAATGTCCCAGTGTTCAGTGTGTGTGAACCGTCCCTGCGCTGCTTTAATCGAAGCAAACGTGTCATTTGAACATTCCTCTGTACAGTAAAAGGGCCAATATCTACATCTGGCTTCTCTGTAGTATGAAACAAAAGAAACGATGAAAGAGCAGAGAAACATTTGTGGCCCCCACAAGGCTTTTGCTGATTGTTATTGGGGCTTAAACGTTGCTTCCACTGTGTGTGTGTGTGTGTGTGTGTGTGTGTGTGTGGCACGCTCTGGCATGCTTGTCTAAGCTCCAATCAAAGGAGGCCTTGTTCACTGTATTTGTTATGTCTGAACGTCCGATGATGTGTGATGTGTCCCAACTTCCCCCCGTCACCTGCCAGGAACAAGCAGAACCAATAACAACGTGCCGTACGCACACACACACACCTACACCCACACACACACACACAAATGCACACATATGCACACACACACACACACACACACACAAATGCACACACACACACACACACAAATGCACACACACACACACACACACACACACACAAATGCACACACACACACACACACACAAACACACAAATGCACACACACACACACACACACAAATGCACACATATGCACACACACACAAATGCACACACACACACACAAATGCACACACACACACATATGCACACACACACACACAAATGCACACACACACACACACACACACACACACACACACAAATGCACACACACACACACACAAATGCACACATATGCACACACACACAAATGCACACACACACACACAAATGCACACACACACACACACACACACACACACACACACACACACACACACAAATGCACACACACACACACACAAATGCACACACACACACACAAATGCACACACACACACATATGCACACACACACAAATGCACATACACACACAAATGCACACACACACACACACTTGTGTTTCCTTTCACTATCGCTGAACTAGTACACTAATGCAAAAGCACAAAACAAGGGTTTGCAGCAAATTCTGACTCATTTTATAAAATTTTCCTATATTTATATATATATATATATATATTGTTTAAACAAAGTCTTTATTTGTTAAACTGGTCATGTGACCATTAACTGACATCAGAAAACTGTGAACATGCAAATATGTTCTCAGGGGGACTTTTGTAAATATTGTAGATCAAATGTGGTCAGCTTTTTTTTTATTATTGATATGCTAATATTATTCTTTGTGCGGTTTAACCAGAAACCTAAAAAAGTTTGTGAATCCCTGGAATAGAGGAATGAAAACTGAACAGCAGAAAACAGTCAAATAGAAAATCAATGACTGTGACATCACTAAAGACTCTAAAGGGGAGTAGAATAATATGGAATATGGAATATAATAGGACAGAACAGAATGGAATTGACACCAGTGTTGGGGAAAGTTACTTTGAAAAAAAAAATGCATTTCAATATTGTGTTACTTCCTTAAAAAGTAGCTAATTGCGTTTAGAATTAGCATTACTTTACTTTAAGTAATGCATTATGTTACTTTTGCGTTACTTTTTTTTCACCTGGTCTGGGCTTGTTTTTTTTATAACAAAAAAAGTTATATTTTTGGGCAAATGTTAAGACCCTTTCACACTTATAATAAATAACAAGTGAAATAATAAGTCATAATAAGCAAATGCAGATTCACGCGTGTACAGTAGCGAGCGCAACTCAAGCAAACCTTTCAGCTGCTGTTCTGGATGACAATACATAAATCTATAGTCATTTTTGTTTATGGTTTAACTGAGCCATCGAAGGCCAGAAGCAAGTACATTGGTCAATGAAGTGAGATTAAATGCATACAAATGTATGTTTTATTTAACATATTTAGTTATTGGAGGTTTGCATAGTATTCTGATTCTGCATTTCACTGATTTTATTCATTTTGAGGAATATTGAATCTTTTTTTTGTGCAAGTGAGATGAGTAAATGCACTTTTACTTTTAGTCTAGAACTACAATAACCATCATGTTCACACACACACACACACACACACACGCTTCTGCACTTCCATTTGTCTCAACATGGGGTCAGGAGAGCTGTCAGTCAATACATGGGAAAACGTATTTGAAAAAGTACCTCAGATATATTGTTGTAAATTTTAAAAGTAATGCATTACTAGTTACTTGAAAAAGTAATCTGATCAAGTTGAAATGTTGCCATCGGGTATTGATTGATTGATTTTATTTGACCACTTAAAAATATGAAAAAAATATGAAACTGTGTCAAACATTAAAAATAAATAAATAGTCAGGGATGACACAATAAAGCCCAAAGACTTTAAGGTTTAAGGTTTAAGGTTAAGGTAAGAGAGTTGCAGATTCAACCGGTTTAAGAACTCGTTTATTCCTTCGGCCATTAAGCTATTAAATAACACTAAGTAATTATTATAATTTTTTTCTTGTTTTATGTGATGCATTGGCTGTATTTTTTCCCTCTGGGACAATAAAGTAAACCTTAAACCTTAAAGTTACTTGTAATGAGTTAGCCCAACACAGGTACAGGTACAGGTGTAACTCACCGGGGATCTGGCTGTGGGCGGGGCTGCTGAAAGGGGGCGTGGTCAGGGCGGGGCGGGGGGCGGGGCCATGGTGTGGACTGCAGCGCATGGCACTTCGCCTCAACTGCTCAGAGAAAGCTAACGCGCCGGGCTTTACCGCTTCATCCGGCTTCTGTCGGTGGCCTGGACACACACACACACACACACACACACACACACACACACACACACACACACAGAACGGAGATGAGAGAGAACGATTTAGTTACTGACTGTCCATTAACAGAATCAAAGCCACTTAAGCACACAAACACAACAACTATTAGACATGTACACTATGATCTGAGCACCGGTAGATTAATGCTTACTAAATGTAGTCAATTGCTGATTACAAATTGCAGTTAGTAATCTATTGAATTACAAATATTAGGTAATGTAGCCTATTCGGACTACTTTTTGATTACTTTGGACCCAACTTATTTGACACATACATTTAAAGAATTGTTGTGCACCATATTGATAAAAAAAAAATTAAAAAAGGAAGAAAAAAAATGTTATTATCAACATATAGAAGTGCATTAAACACCAGATTGGGTTTGTGAAAGCTAATAATTAAATGAAATCATAAAAATGAACATTAAAAACAGAAACAGTAAAAGTTGAACAAACTGTTTATGTGTTCCTGCATGTCATTGTGACAATTATTCGACATCAGAGAACCGTGAACATGCAAATGTTTTATTAAAATTATTGAACTTAAAATAGATATAGGCATGTGTGGAATTCCACAAAATTCGGCTTTCCTAATGTATATAAACTACGGAAGCGTATTGCATTCACTTGAGGGAAAAAAATCTACTCTGTTTTTCTGAATTAACGAGTTAATTATCTCAGAATTATGAGATAATTTTTCATGGAAAAAAAAGTTTTTGCTCTGTTTTTCTGAATTAATGACTCAAAATCTCAAAATTATGAGTAACTCATTAATTCATAAAAACAGTGTGAAAAAAATGTTTTTCAAGAAAAATGTATCTCATAATTCTGAGATAATTAACTCGTTATTTCAGAAAAACAGAGCAAAACCTTTTTTTCCATGAAAAATGATCTCGTAAATCTGAGATAATTAACTCGTTAATTCAGAAAAACAGAGTCGATTTTTTTTTTCTTCAAGTGAACGCAATACGCTTCCGTAATAAACTATATGATTTTTCAGAAATAAAAATTATAATAATTAGAAAACTTAATAAAAAATAAGACTTAATAAATTATGAAAAATGTACTGCCATTGTGTGAATAATCGCGTAATCCATAAAAAAGCAACTGTAATCTGACTTTTAAAACTTAATATACATTTTTGGAATCTGATTACGTAATCCAGAGTACATGTACAGCACTGCTGATCACACACACACACACACACACACACACACACACACACACACACACACACACACACACACACACACACACACACACACACACACACACACACACACACACACACACACACACACACACACACACATCCTACTAATGATGCTGAATGAGGAGACCAGCGTGTCACTGCTCCAGTAGGGGGCGCTGTTCTGTCTGGTGTGTGTGTGTGTGTGTGGCTCTGACCTCACACACAGAGACTGGGATTAATGGTCACAGGTGATGAGAGAGAAAGGCACACGGAAAGGAACAGAAAGGACAGCTGTGTGAAACCATCATCCGCACGCGAGCGAGGAAGTCCTGCTGAAACCAGAGAGCTTTGAAGACCCGGCCAGCGCATCCCGCCAGACTGACCCGGAGTATATGCGGAGTGGCGCCGGCCGAAGGATTCCCGACCGGAATAACGGACCAACGGGGAATAGAGCCGCCAACATGTGCGTGATACGCGTTCATATACAGACACACACGCTATTAAAACACACTTCACACTAGTGTGAGCAACACTGACTACATTAAAACCACCATGATTCAGACATATACCAATACAAATAACAGGTGATATGCTTTTTAATAATGTAACATTTTAATAATAATAATAATAATAATGAAGATTAATAAATATTATTAAATTATTATAGTCACTAAATTATATAAATAATAACAACAACAACAATAATAAACTTAGTACATAGTAAATATTATTGTATTAATGAATTATTATAATTAGTAAAGTATTATTATTAGTAGTAATATATGGAAAACCAATAATAATACTTTAGTAATTATAATTATTTTAACTAATAATATTTATGTATTAAGATGTTATTATTATGTTTTCATTATTATTAATACTACTAATAATACTGTAGTAACTTTCGTAATTAGTTAATACATATGATAATAATAATGAAAAACATAATAATATATGAATACATAATACATATAACAAGTAAAATTAATTATAATATAAATATTGTTCATTATTATTAACAATACTACTTTATTAATTCTAATAATTAATTAATACAATAATAATAATTAAGCATAATTATTATTAATAATACTATTAATAACAATAATGAAAAAACATAATAATTATACTTTAGTAATTATAATTATTTTAACTAATAATATTTATGTATTAAGATGTTATTATTATGTTTTCATTATTATTAATACTACTAATAATACTGTAGTAACTTTCATAATTAGTTAATACATATGATAATAATAATGAAAAACATAATAATAATATATGAATACATAATAAACATTATAAGTAAAATTAATTATAATATAAATATTGTTCGTTATTATTAATAATACTAATACTACTTTATTAATTCTAATAATTAATTCATACAATAATAATAATTAAGCATAATTATTATTAATAATGATATTAATAACAATAATGAAAAACATAATAATTATACTTTAGTAATTATAATTATTTTTTACTAATAATACCTATTATGTATTAGGATGTTATATTTTTCATTATTATTAATAATACTTTAGTAATTATAATAATTAGTTAATACAATAATTATTATTAATTATAATAATAATGAAAAACATAATAACATCTTAAAAGTAGCTATTAGTAAAAAATTATTATAGAACTATTTTTTCATTATTATTATTAATACTACTACTAATAAGTATTTACCTCTGATACCATGTTGTACTGGTTTGTACGGGACATAAATATTAACTGTGAACCAACATACTGTAACAATCA